CTTTTATAGAACAAATTGTTAGAAACTGCAAACAATATCAGGTTTTTTCATCAACAACGTTGAAAGAGGGTTTTCTGTCCTGGTATTTTGGTTAACAGAGTTAAAACAAAGTGATAAACAAAGTTTTATTATGTGTAGTGAGGGGTTTTCATACTATTTTATTGGTACTTTAGCTAAAGGAATGGTTCTAGAATAAATTCCTCCACCTCTCGTTGTTGTTAGCAAATAGATAACCACAGTATACTTACTGTCTCAACTAGAAAGCACTTTTCTTCCTTCCTTCACCCCAGCCAGCCTCTTAAATATGGAGAGAAATTTGCATTTTAAATTCAAAAACTAACTTTTTCAGACTCCCTCTGGACTGGAATAGCTGTTGTCTTTACATTATAAAGCCCCTTGTTGTGATTTGTTGCTCTATAAATAAAGCTAAGTTGGCTTTACAGTCACATAAACAGCACACTGCTTCTATGATCAAGTGATTATCAGTGTGTTGCAGCTTCACCCTGTGGAGTGATGGAGAACTGCAGGTAGTCTTCACTTTAAATCCTCAGAGGGGGATGTGTTATTTTTACGTTTAGATGTAACTGATTAATTTGACCATTATAACCTGTCAGGAGTTGGTCTGTTGATTCATGTTGTTGGTTACACACATATAAAAGAAGCTCTGTAAAAAGCTTGAATTACACAGTTAAAAAAATAAATAAACAAGCAAATATGATATCATAAAGTTATAGCTTCAGATGAAGTGAAGACTCAAAGTTGCCCGTCTCAAAGTCAGAGTTTGTTCTACCTCAGTTTCTTCCCCTTTTCATCTCCACTTTACCTCAGTAGTTATCTTGCCTGTCAATGAGGTGATTTTACAATAAGTCTCGCATCAGAAGAGCTGGAGGAGGCGGCTGGCACTGGGAGTCTGCTTGGACTACGGAAGGACCCGGAGAAGCAGCAGGAAATAATGGATTTATAGACATGCATTTACTATAATTACCCTAAAACACTTAATAAGGACTTATTGGTGAGTTTGAGCCAAGTCTTTTCTACAAAGTTGCAGCTTTTGCTTTGGGTGTTATTTAAGGCATTTCCTGCTGTGCCTGTGGTTGGCATGAAAAGAGGATGATGCAGATGCAGCATCTGTAACCCGGTTTATGAAGCTGCTCCAGAGTCCAATGCATCAGCATTCAAAAAATCAAATCCAGATTCAGACTCAAAGACGCGACTATTTTTAAGAAAAACAAAGACGTGTCAAAGAAAACGTTTCTGATCCTTTTTTATAGAAAGGATCAATGATCTGCTTCCACAGACTGATACTGACAGATTGAAGAGATTTATAATAAAAACAAAAATCTAATTTAAAACTTGGAACCATGGCTGACCAACCAACCAGATGTAAAACTGGAACATCTGGACTGAATGTGTGATGAAGAGTAAAAGTCAGCTTGATTAAAGAGTTTATTTTCAGTCAGAATTTGAAAATCATCTTTCTGATCCACGACTGATAATCTGACACTCTGGTGAAGATGGCTGGCTTCTCTGAGTTGCAGTGCGAGCTGCCCCATGTGACAACACCAAACAGGAAGTAGGTGCCATATTTCTGACAGAAGAGTGGTGCTCCAGAGTCTCCCTGCAGAGACAAGGAGTCAGTTTCTCCTGATGGTTATCATCATACACACATCAACCAATAACCAGATGAGGGCTGAAAGTCTTCCACGTCAGCCATGTTGGATCCATAAATATTTGGACAATGTTTTTGTTAATCAACATTGAAGTGAAGACCTTTAGCTCTAAATCAAGAGGTTTAACAAAATATTACAGTAACTGTTTATGAAGTACAGACATTTTTATACTCAGCAGGCCTAACCTTCACGGCCAAGACACAAAATATGAATGATGAACATTTATTGATAATAAAGCAGCAAACTAGACCCTCAGTTGGGCATTAAATACCAAACTGAAGTCAGAGAGCCAGAAAGCATCTGAAAGTGCTGAAGTAAAGACCTGCACAGCATCTCGAGGAGGAAACACAGCAAGTAGTCAACAGGGATTTTTATAAATTTGAGAAATTGTTCTTATATTTATGCTATTGTTCAAGTACTTATGGACCCAGCTGGAGCTACAGGCTCATGAACCTCAGACTTGGAACATTTCCTTCTGGAAGAAACACTGATTAAGGTAAAACCCAAACAACTTTTGTAAAGAGTTAAAGAACAGCTTATGATTACAGAGAGGCACCACAGACTGGACATGAGATCACGTGGTTTAGAGTCGATCACCGTCCCTAACAATGAGGAGTGTCCAGATCATCAAAATAGCTATAGGATTTAAAAAACAAAGAAAATAAGAGAAATTTATAAATCCTCATAAAACCTTTTTTATCCTCCCTGATAAATGTTTAAAATGGAAAATCCACAACCTGAAATCACCTAAAGCACCTCAGTGATGTCATTTCTCTTTCTTCACAAAGCTTGTGTTCAGTGATGCATCTTTAAGGGAAGAGGATGTTTCACTGATAAATTACATGGATGGATAGATGGATATCCATCCATCCTGTATTAATAGCTTTACAGGTGGTCAAAACAGCTCCCACCAACACTAAACATTAATGGTATCCACTGCTCTGTGCAGTAGATGAAGTTGTGCCTGACAGCTGTGCTTTGAAAGGAACACCAAACCGATGTTGGGTTTAGTTACCATACAGGATGTGGAGCCTGCAGGATGTGAACAGATGTGAGAGTCAGTGATGAAGCCTCCCCATTTCTGCCTGCAGGAGGTTGTGTTGACGAGTGTGAGCCCAGCGTGGTGCAGCCGGTCTGGATCAACACCCTCTACCAAATTAAGAAGGGTAGGTGTAAAGTACGATCAGGATACAGAGGTCTGAAGTCCTGTCACATGACTCAGTCTGATCACACACCAAACTACTGGTTGTTCCTGTTCTGTACACTATGCAGGAGGAATGAGGATGTTACCTTTCGCTTTAGTTGCTCCCCAGCCAGCTGTGATACAAGACCAGGTGTCATCCAGGTCGTCATCCTCATCAGGGACACAAACTGGAGACACTTCAGAACCTGTAGACAGAGTCAGGGCACAGTGAAGACTTCTCAGACACAGTGAAGACTTCTCAGAGTCAAATCTCCTGAAGCTTCAGGCGCACCAAGTCTGGCAGAAACGCTCAGGTGAAGCAGTGCCAGGTTAGACTTCGGGGGGAAGCCCGTTTTCTGCGGTGGGTTAAAGACTTTGTCCACTAGGATGGTTTGAACTGGCAGGAACTTGATGTCATGAAGCCCCAAAACTGCCACATCCTCTTTAGCCCTGAAGGAGGAAGTCAGTAGGAACATTAGCAGAGCTGACACGTGACAGATTACACTGCAGTACTGGAGCCAGTATTAATGGTAGCAGGACTACCTGACGCCACAGTGTTTGGCGGTGATGACCCAGTGGGGGTGGATCAAAGCGCCGCTGCAGTAGTGGCGACCATTAAACTGTAGGCTGACCTGCCAGGGCCAGAGGAAGGGGCAGGACTCAGTCACATTCACCACGGACAACACGCCGTCCACAGACAGCGAGATTTCGGCGAGGCCAGGAGTCTGATCACAGCCGGAGCTCTGCTGCTTTCCGCACTCCTCTGTTACCCCCACATGCAGGAATGGACAAAATAGAAACACCTGAACTACATGTTGATACACTGACTGGTGGATCTTCTGTTGCAGTTTAAAGATGGTGTGATTAAAAAAAAAAAAAAAGAAAGAAAAAGAAAAAGCTTACCTTCATCTATGAGGTCATCTTCAGACACTTGAGCCTGATCACCTGGAAATGGAAGACGTCCTTCAGAACAGACTCCACCTGCTGCAGGTGTAGAAAGGTTGTGGACTCTGAAACTCACCCATGGTGTCAGACATCCACTGAACATGCTGCTGCACTCTGGTGTACACTCCAGGTCTTTTGGCTCGACCACAACCCACCCCCCAACTCACCAAACCTGCCAGCTCATACCTGGTGCCTGTGAAGCAGGACAGAGGACCTCCAGAGTCCCCCTGACACACAAACAGGAACACAGACACCACACGAGTTCCTCAATACTCTCCAGATACATGCTAACTGAGGTTTCCTGGTCCACATGTTGAACATTCCTTGTTTTCAGGCTGCACAGATGTTCAGCTTGTACCTGACAGGCATCCAGTCCCCCTTCATCCTTCCCAGCACAAAACATGGAGGGCCTGATCCTGCCTAGGTAGTACTGGTTGCAGGTATCCGAGGGCAGAATGGTCACATTCACTTCCTGCAGTCTGTTGACTCGAGGGCCATCTGGTGATGGAGAAAGAACACAAAGGCTCAGATCACACCTGAAGAACCCCAGCTTCCTGTGTACAGCAAACATTTCCTCACTCTCTCGGGTGGAGCCCCAGCCAGTGATGGTGCATTTCATGAGCAGAGGCAGCGGCGTCATCCAGATGTCGATGGGTCTGACGAAGTGGTTGAACTCCAGTGGTTTCTCCAGCTTCACCAGAGCAATGTCGCTCTCTTTAGACTCAGTGTTGTAGCTGTGATGGATGAAGATCATGGAGACTCCCACCAGCTAAGCAGAGAGATGGGAACATTTTCTCATCTCACATCAGGACGATTGTCTGTGGTACCTCCGAGGAACCAAAGAACCGAGAGAACACAGCCTGGAGCCTAACTCCGATCCCACCCAGATATCCACAGACCGAGGCTCCTCAGCACCCCAACAATAAATGACAGTGAAAAGCAATCATATTATTATTTCTCCTTAAAACATCGTAAGCTATGCAGTCAATGTCTTAGGTCATTACTGCTGTTTTGACAAAAATCCTTGTGCAGTGTGTTAGCACATGATGGTACGACCCACATTTTAAGTTTTGTTCTAAGCTGTCCGTCCGACATTTCAGAGGGTCATCAGTGAAACCCTGGACACAGAGTCACTGCTGTCTGCAATGTTGCTCGACTGATCAGCCTTCAGCTGACGTTTTTGATGACAAACAGAGTTTACAGTTCAGTGCCTGACCTGCTCCTGAGGCTCCTCAGCTTTATCCAGGTCATGTTTTCCAGCAAGAACCGTCCACAAGGATACTTTACTATGCCTGTAACACAAGTCATGACATAATACTTAGTACTGATGTATTATTGTACAGTCTTTACATTACAACATAAAACACCTATTATACTATATAAATAAAGTTAAACTGAGCTGACTTAGTTTGACGTGTACTCAGTAAGATAAGATATAAGATAAGACTGTATTGATCCCACAGCAGGGAAATTTGTGCGTTTCCTCAGCTCAGGTACAGATATCAGAAGAAAAATACAAATAAAAAACACAATAAATACAAAATAAGTAAAATAATACACTATAACGGTAGCACACACAGTATGTGATTATGGATAGAGGGTTGTGGAAATATGCAAGACATAAATTTAACTATTCTACTATATCTATTACTAAGTAATAGATATCTATGAGTATAGACATGTACACACTAAATATACATATGTATACATACACATACACCTGCACATGTCCATACATATAAAGGTACATTATGCATGAAGTGTGACCGTAGATGTCCACAATGTCCAGTGACTCATGACATTGTGATTGAGGAGTTATAGAGTCAAACTGCTGTTGGGATGAATGATCTGCGAAAGCGCTCCTTCCTGCAGCGATGGTGTTTCAGTCTCTGACTAAAGGAGCTGCTCAGCACACTCACAGACTCATGTAGAGGGAGATGTTGGTTGTTCGTGATGAATGTCAGCTTTACTAAGATCCTCCTCTTGCCCACTGGCTCCAGAGGACATCCCAGCACAGAATAAGACCTCCACACCAGTTTGTCAGTCCTGCTCCTGTCCATGCATCCGCTCCCCCAGCAGGCCACTGCATAGAAAAAGGCAGATGCTACCACAGTGTCATAGAATGTCCTTAACAAAGTCCTGCAGACTCCGAAGGACCTCAGTCTCCTCAGCAGGTGGTGTCGACTCTGGCCCTGCTTATACAGGACATCTGTATTTGTAGTCCAGTCTATTGCTGAGGTGAACAACCAGGTACTTGTAAAAGTCCACAATCTCAGTGTCTTCTCCTTGGATGTTAACCAGTGTTGTAGGGGTTTACGTCCTCCTGAAGTCTATGACCATCTCCTTTGTCTTGCTGGCGTTGATTTGGAGTGCGTTGGTCTCACACCAGCCAACAAAGTCAGTGATGACCCTCCTCTATTCCTGATCATTCCTGTATGATATGCATCCGTTGATGGCTGTATCATCTGAGAACTTCTGTTGGTGGCAATGGTCCGAATTATAACAGAAGTCCGAAGTATACAGGCTAAACAGGAAGGGTGAGAGAACCGTGCCCTGTAGCACCGCTGTGCTGCAGATTACCACGTCGAACACAGTGGTGATAAACCTGATCCTGGATCTGTCCTGGTGTCAGAGAAGGTTGTTCTGAGCCAAAAATGCTCTAAATGTATTACATGTACTACTGCTACCATCTGACCAGGTCTAACACTGGAACCCTCTCTGAACATCTCAAACTATTCAAAACTATTTACAAAAAAAAAAAAAGCCAACTGCAGAGGCTGCGACAAAACAAACGTGACCTCTGACCTTACGAAGCAGTGGGCAGCAGAGATGACCCACAGCGGGCTGACAATAGCACCCCCGCAGGCCGGCATGGAGGCGAGCTGCAGGGAAACCTGCCAGGGCCACGAGTGAGCCCAGGCCTCCTGACCCCCGATGATTCGGGTTTCCAGCTCCTGCTCCAGCATGAAGGAGCGCACCCCAGCGAGGTCTAAGGGCAGAGGTCAGAAGAGAGCTCAGCTAATTATTTCAGATAAAAACTGTTCAACCGCCATAAACACATAAATAAGCCAAAGGGTTTTAATACAAACTTACATACTTTAAAGTAACATTTCTAAATTATCTTTAAAAAAGCATTTCAAAAATATTTAAATTATATGCGTATGATTCTTCCTCTTCGAAAAATAAAATATTTCCATTTTAATATTACTACAAGCCCATAACTATATTTGATAACAAAATAAAAATATTGTAAAAAGAAACTTGTTATATATATTTTTTTCTTTTCATGAGGTCATTTTATTTTTATTTTTCATTTTACTGAGCATCTTTCATATCACCGGGTTCCCACGTGTAACGTAAAAACCTCGGACTCGTTAGCGCGTGGATCACCTGTGAAGCCGAAGCGTGCGGAGAACAGCGAGCTTTCCTGCGCAGTTCCATTTACAGTGGGGTGATTCTGGATCTGTGTCGAACCTCCAGCTGCAAACAAAACATTAACAGCTGTAACGCACAGCAAACATAAAAACCATTTAAAACGGTTTTGGAGTCGCTGTGTCTTCAGGACACTCGAGGACACCCTCAGGTGTAATAATTGTAAACTCTGAATCCAAAAACAGTCCTACTAGCAGGTGACTGATCAGGCTGCACAAACACAAACCAGCAGTGTGTGTGTGTGTGGTGGGGGGGGGGGGGGGGGGACTTGTCTCACCTGTGTGGACCGACAGAACACAGACGACCAGCAGCAGCATGTCTGTCTCACGTTCACCCTCAGAAGATTTACAGGCTTTACGCAGCTGAGCTTCACCTCCATCAGCCTGACCTGTGTGATTGCACACACCTGTACGAGACCCCTCCCCTCACTGTCAGTCTGCAGCATTCAGTGTGACAACAGGTGGGAGACAGGTGAGTCCTCCAGTGTCTGTGTTCTCCCTTTTCCACTGAGGATTTCAGTTCGGACCCACTTTCATTAGAAGACTGGTACTGCTGATGTCAGCGTCAGTGGGAGGAGCTTCTACCAGAAAATGTAGCTGGAGCTGGCTTTGCGTGTGCACGCGTCACTGGATGGAACAGGCATAAAATCAATGAGAGCGCAGTCCCGCTGATGGCGCTGGAGGTGAGTAGAGCGCGCAGCTGTTTTTGTGTGTTGCTGCAGCAGCCACATCACGGCGTTGGGCCGTTTGAAACAGCAGGTTTTTGTGCGTGACGCTGCTGACTGACACAAAAGCCTCTGAATATCCCACCATTCAGAAACGATAGCATGACATTAAGTCCGAGGTCTGAGTGGAGCATCAGGTGTTGTCACCGGTAACACAGTAAAATGGACCGTGACAGTCATTTTATGAAGAGTTTCAATTTATGGTTCATGGCGCTTGCACACAAACTAGACAAAGCTAAACGTTCACGACAACCACGAGCTCAGACTGAAGTAACGACGTCTCTCGTGGTGGTCCTTTGACAGAGCGAGCAGTGTACAGACACGCCGTACACTGCTGCACAGACAACTGGATGATGACATGGTGAAATAAATCCTGCACGAAAGCTTTATGAACTCTTTCAGTGAAACACTGTGAGTGACGCGTTTACTGCCGCTCATAAATGTAAGTGATGATCCAGTGATGAAGGACCAGAGCCGTGCTCGAACCAGGACTCACCTGCTCCGGAGAGAGAGACAGACACTTGGGTTTGCAGTTTGTTTATTAATGTGACTGACATGTATTTTACTTTACTTCCGGTTGTGTTATATGGTGCTCGCGTGTATTTATTATTGTGGCAGTGACAAACTGATGAGGCTCCGCGATTAAACGTCACTGAGAGCGGAAGCCCGGCTGTCACATGCTTGTCGGTCCGCCTCCCCCGTCCTCAGTCGGAGTCTGGACGCCGAGCAGAGAGCATGTCCGGGTGCGACCGAGTGATCTTTGAGGCCACCAGGCTGCTGTGCGCCGCCGGAGGAGCTCTGCGGCTCCCGCAGCTGTACGAGGAGCTGCGGCGACTCTGTCGTGTCTCCGAGGAGCTCTTCTGCAAGCTGGTCTATGGGCATCCCCGCTTCCTGCTGGTCCGCGGGCCGGAGACGGATGGCTGGCTACGGCCCGAGGACTGCACGGTGCTGGCGCAGACGTTACTGCGCGTGTGCGTGAGCCACCGGCTCGGGGAGCCGTGCGCAGACTGTGACCAACTGCACCTTTGCAGATTCTACATCTACGGAACCTGCAAGTTCGGCAAGGGCAGGTGTGTGTGTGTGTCTCTCTCTCGCTCTCTCTCTCACACACACAAACACACACACACATCAGCTGAACGAAAGTTAAGGAAATGAAACAGAAACAAAGTTTCCGCTGCAACAGAGACATCCTTATCTCCATCATCTTTATCATCCACACATCATCCTTATTACCATCTTCATCATTATTCTTATTGTTATTGTTGTTGTTTTTGTTGTTATTGTCGGTGGTGGGTGTTGTCTCTAAAGCTGACAGGAAACAAGCTGACACCTGCTGCCAGACGTCACTGTGATGTCAGCAACCAGCTGATTGTCAGATGAGTTTTGTTTTCCTGAGAAATTAGACCACAAGAACAGGGGCGGATCTAGAGAAATTTTCTTAGGGTGGCAAAGAAATCAAATGGGGTGGCAAAATCAAAGCCTTTTTTTTCCAAACACATATGCAGGTGCTTACATATGGTTAAAATAATTCAAATGCAGTAAGTATACACGTTTTTCATATAAATATAGTCTATAACTTAATTATTGTCTGTAGCCCACATAATTACACACTTTAGTTACATAAAACATGTGAGTTTTGATCTTATGTACTGTATAGCCTGTATAATAAATAAATATGTAGCCCAA